CCTAGTGTTGGGTAGGCAATATATCTATATACAACAAACAATAGCTTACAGTCGCAGTTCACATTCCAGTCATCAAGTCATCAAGCATAGGACAAGCAGATAGAGAGAGAGTGGGCTCTCTTGACTCCTTCTTATAGTAAAGTTAATTACACCTGATAAGTACATCCACTCATTTAAAGCAACAATCACCATTTTTTGTTGTATATAGATATATATTGCCTACCCAACACTAGGAGTATACTCCCAACATGCTCTTTTCCAGTCCTCTGGTACTTCCCTGGTACTCCAGGATCTTTGAAAGATATAGTTCAGTGGTTCTAAGATCACTTCTGCCAGTTCCATCTGGTCCTGGTGGTTTCAACTTGTCTAGGGTGAACAGGTGCTCTCTTACCATTTTCTTGCCTATTTTAACTTGTATTCCTAATCTGTTTTTTACAGTACTGTGTTTTTGATATTCTTTTGTCTTTTTGTGTAAAGACAGATGTAAAAAATGAGTTAAGTAGTTCTGCTTTCTCCCTGTTGCTTGTCACCTTCTTGCCACTTTCTCCCACTAATGGACCAATCGTTTCCTTGACTTTTTTTCTTGTTTTTTATATGTTGAAAGCAGCTTTTTTTTTGTTATAACCAGCCATGTTGGTTTCTTCTGTTATTTTTCTTTTTCATTGGTATTGTGCTGAGATGGGCTTTTATAATCTCACTTTTCAAAGTTTCCCAAGCTTTTTAGGTTGTTTTCCCCTTGAGGATTCTTGCCACTTTCTCCCAGCAATGGACCAATTGTTTCCTCTACTTTTTTTTATTGTTTTTGACATGTTGGAAGAAGCTTTTTTTGTTATTTTCTTTGCTTTTGTCGCAAGCCTTCCTTCATTGTGAGCCTTAGCTTTCCTCACTTCATCTTTACAGGCTTGGGCTGTTTGCTGATATTCTGCTTTAGTTATTTTTCCCTCTTTCCACTTTTTATACTTGTCCTTTTTGTCTTTCAATTTGTCAGAGAGTTCTTTATGCAGCCATGCTGGTTTCCTTTGATAGCTGTTATTTTTCTTCTTCATTGGTGTTGTGCAAGACTGGGCTTTTATCATCTCACTTTTCAAAATTTCCCAAGCTCCTTGAGTTGTTTTCCCCTTAAGATTCTCATCCATGGAATCCTTCCCAAGCCCTGTCTAAGTTTATTGTAATCAGCTCTCTTAAAATCCAAGACTCTAGTTTGACTTTGTTCTACTACTTGTGCTTGCATAATGTTGAATTCCAATATTGCATGATCACTTGCCCCCAAGGTTCCCATGGCTTCAACACCTTCTATCATTTCATCTGTGTTAATGAGAATTAAGTCCAATATGGCTGATCCCCTAGTTCCCTTCTCTACTTTTTGGAGAGAAAGTTGTCTGCTAGGTTTGTCAGGAACCTGTACGATCCATTTCTGGCGGAACTACTTGCCCTTGATGTAGCAGAGATGTTGATCTCTGTTACAGTTTCTCCACAGTTACAAGCCTCCCTGGGAAAGGGGAGGCTTTGGAAATCAAACCTTTTGCTCTCCTGAGTAGCCAGACACTCTCAGACTGCTTCTTGGAGAAGTAGTAGTAACCAGGTGAGTGCCTGACTGGGGCGGGGCAACGATGCAAGTTCACTGTGGAAGAACCAGCTGTTTATAATGGACAATAAAGGGTGCCACCACTTCTTAGGCACTAGTGTCGGCCTCTATCTTGCATGTTTGCTATCTGCTGCCATAGTAATGGGGAGGGTGAGGGCTCATGGTATTTGGGAGGGGAATTTGGGAGGGGAAATGTGCTGGTGGAGATATCTCAAGAAGGGAGTTTTGTTCTCACCATCTTCTGCGCATGCTGATGGCTCGTGTTTGGGTTTGCTTAAGGCCAACTGTCTCTGCATAGCAACTGAAGATGCGCCCACATGACACCTTTGGGAGTTGGAGATTGGACATTGGGTCGGGGTAACTGGGGGGAGGGATTTTGGTAAACGTTTGATATGTACAAGTTCACACTTTTTTGCTTTAGATCTTGCTTCACTTTCGCTGTTTTCATTTCATGTCTAGTAAAAGTACCTTTTCTATAATTAAATGGAGTTGGGGGGTTTCTTTCATGGATATTGAATGAGGCATGCCTGACATTAAGCAAGATCTCTTCGCAACCATCCCAGAGTTAAACCTTCTGTGGGGGTTGTACCAACCATGTCTAACCCCTGCAGCGACCAGAAGGACCTGGGGGCTGCTGGATCCTCTCCCCCACTCCCTGGAAACGAAGTGGATGGCTGAACTGACTCTTGAGGAAAAATCGGTCCGACCCAGATGGTCACTGGGAGTGGGACAGATGAATGATCCCGAGAGATCTGAAGCAAAAAATCACACCGAGAGGGAGTTTGGAAGAGCCGAGGAGGCAGAGAGGGAAGCAGACACCCTGGCAAACCCCAAATTGGCCCTGGGAGCTGTTACAGGAACTGGGCAAGCCGCAGGAGCTCCAGCCGCTGCCGCTGCAGCAGCAGCAGCAGCAACAGCAGCAGCAGCAGCATCACCGAAGTATAGAGGAGATCCCAAAGCAGTGGGATTTTTTTTGGCTCAAGTTTGGAATTACACGCTGGAGTATGGAGAAGATTTTCCATCAGAGGCTGCCAAACTGAGAAGTGTTACTATGGCTTTGGAAGGTAGCGCAGCTGACTGGATGGTGGCTCTTCATAACTCCCCACAGCTGAGGGTTTGCAATGGGTTTATGACGGCCCTGAGGACATGCTTTGAAGAGCCCCTTGCAAATCGGAAGGCATGAACCAGGTTGAAAACTTTAACCCAGGGTCGGAGATCTGTGGCAGAATACACTCAGGAGTTTCGCGAGCTGCCTGTGCACATGCGGGGGTAGTCCCAGGAGGCACTGATGGACAGCTACAGAGGTGGCGTAAACGATGGCCTCTTGGTAAGTCCTCATGCAGGCCCCATGACCATCCCAGTAGAACTAAGGGTACCTTCAACTGGCACCCAGGGGAAGATGCTGGCCCTTTTAGATTCTGCCTGCACCAGGTGTGTTATTAGCCCAGAGGTGTTGGAGAAAATGGGTCTAAAACTGAGAACAATGAAAGTATCCATTGCCTTTTGCCAGTTGGATGGGTCAGTTGCTGAGGGGGAGGCATTTTGTAACTGAACTGGTAGAGATGTGGATGGGGAACCACCAAGAATCTTTAAGCTTCATCGTCGCCCCAGGGATGGAACGGCCCCTCATACTGGGATTACCTTGGCTACGGAAATGGAACCAGCAGGTGAACTGGAGGAAGGGCCTGCTACACATCTGTTCTGCCCAGCTGGCTAAGGGGAGGGGGAAGACATCCCACATAGCCAGAGCCATAACAGAGCTGGCAGCACTCATGCACGAAAGAATTGAGGGGGAGAAGTAAATCCCAAAGGAATATTGGGACCTCAGAGAGGCATTCAACAAAAAGGCTTCCGATAAACTCCCACCCCACCACCCCACTGATTGCAGCATATAAATCCTCCCAGGGGTGAAACTTCCCAAGCCACAGATTTACTCAATGACACCACGAGAATTGGAGGAGTTACATAACTTCATTGATAAAAACCTAAAGAGGGGGTTCATCCAGCCAGCTAGGCCACAGGTGGCCATACCAGTTTTATTTCGAGAGAAGAAAGATGGCTCTCTTTGCTTATGTGTGAATTACAAAAACTTGAATGCCATTTGTGTGGAAAATGTGTACCCCTTACCCCTCATGAAGGACATGTTAGTTTACTTGGCCAAGGGGAAATCTTTCACTAAGTTGGATTTAAGGGAGGCATACTATGGAGTCCAGATAAAAGCAGGAGATGAGTGGAAGACCACTTTCAACTGCCCTCTGGGTTGCTTCCAGTTTAGAGTACTCCCATTTGGACTGCAGAGGGCGCCAGCTGTTTTTATGTAGTTGATTAATGAGGTGCTGCATGAACACCTTTACAAGGGGGTTTTAGTTTATCTTGATGACATCCTCATCTACACGGAAACTTTAGAGGAACACGTAAAACTTGTGTGCTCAGTCCTGAAAAAAATCTGAGCTGCTGAACTTTATGCCAAATTGTCTAAGGGCGAATTCCACCAGGAGAAAATTAACTATTTGGGGTACCGCATTACCCCATTGGAAGAACCAGCTGTTTATAATGGACAATAAAGGGTGCCACCGCTTCTTAGGCACTAGTGTCAGCCTATATCTTGCATGTTTGCTATCCACTGCCATAATAACATGGAGGGTGGGGACTCATGGTATTTGGGAGGGGAAATGTGCTGGTGGAGATATCTCAAGAAGGGAGTTTTGTTCTCACCATCTTCTGCGCATGCTGATGGCTCGTGTTTGGGTTTG